CATAAAACTCTGCATTGAATTCAGAAGCAGCAATGCTTACTGGCATGGTAATTTGATACATTTGCATAAAAAGGAATTGTTTGCAGTGCATCTATGCCACACTAAGAATCCCTACAGATTAACATCTTTAAACAAAAGAAAACCTCAACAACATTAAAGAAGAAATTTCAAAAGTATGCTGTCCCCATTAGTTTTCTAACAGAACAAAAGAAACTTGAAGCATTAATGTAGGTATTCACTACGCTTTACCACAGAAACAGAACTGGAAAACCAAACACCTCCACATAAAATGTAGAGCTGCACAGTGAGTTAGCAATTTGTAAGGCTGCCTTGCTTTTTTAAATAAAAATATTTACAGAGCTTCTTGCATCTAGGAAACATTTCAGGTATGTGAGGAATCTTTCAGCAAAATGATAGCATTTTTTTGAAACCTTCAGTACATGTGGAGTAAGTGGATAGAGAAAAAATATTAAATTTTAGAATTTAACAAAGTTTGAAAGGTCATAACAGGACACACAGACAGCAATGGAAAAGGAAGGGGGGAAATAGGGAGGGGAGAACTGGCACCTACCATTCTTTCTTTACAGTTTGGATATTGTCCATGTCTTTCATTCTGGTGCGCCACCTAATTATGGAAAGAAGACGGTTTAAAACCAAACCAAACCAAAATAAAATGCCCAGCACACTTTCCCTCCTTTTGTAGCTGAAACACTACATTTTTTCCTGTGCAGATAATACATTTAACCAGAAACCTCAACCTCCCCCCCCACCAAGTCTCCAGATGGTTCTTTGTTTTCCTGCAGTTTCTAATTTAATGACACATGAACCACGCATCTGTTCCAGACGTTCAGAAGCAAGGTTACTTTCTCATAAACGTACAAGATACATTCCACAATAATAACACTGTGGATTGAAAATACATGCCCATACTTATGCAAGGCGAGGAAAAAACATCACACTCCTTCTCTGATCGACATGGTTTAAACTCCCCTGATTTTCCACAGCACTATGAGATGGTTGCAGAAAAACTGCACTGCCACTGCAGGCATTCAGTGACCTTCACCTTAACTGTGCATTACTGAAAGGGGCAAGATTTGTCAGGCTCCCCTTCCTACCTTACCTCAACATATTGGTGCAGCACCTCAGAAACAGTGAATTATCATTTCTGGTCTACCATTTAGCTGGCAAGCAAATCCTGGATTTGCAAGTACTAAATATACTACAGGATTAGTCTGCTGAGTCAAAAGAAATGAAGAATCCCATACTGATCTCGTTATAGGTGCTCATTCTTGAGCTCTCTGAAAAAAGTTACAGAATGTCACAAAAAGCCAGAAACTGCTAAAAAATCCTTAAAAAAATAAAACCACTCTGAAATTGTGCAACAGGCCCCCCCCCAAAAAAAACCCCAGAAATTTTAAGTTGCAACTGTGTTCAAAGAGTTATTCCCGAAGACCACGGGGTACAGGTTACACACATGATGTTCTCCTCCTGCAGGTCTGGGACTCAGTCATGACATTGTGTGTGGCTTTTAGAGAGCATCAAACTAAGCAGTGACAGCCATCATAATCCTGAAAAAAGTAGCATGCACAGCAAGACTAATACAAATTTTAAGTGGTCTTGACATCTAATTTAACAAGACAGAGAGGTTAGGGCAAAACAACATGCAGCACTGACCAAAAAACAAGAAAACCTACATCCAGTTATTCAGTACTAATTCATATTCCTCCAGTTTTAATATTGGTATTCTTTCATCTTTAAAGTTAAATCCTTGTGAGACACATTATGTAGAAAAGTACATAAGCCTTCAGAAAACCCCTATAACGACCAAAAAATTTGGTCAATATGCACATCACAGGTTTGAAAGGTAAGACAGCCTTAAATTTAACTGATGCTATTATGTATTAGGTCAAAACAGCATACTTTGCACACCTTTGACGTGTCACACAAGATCAGGGTCAGTCTTTTTTTTTTTTTTCCCCTCCTACAAATGTTCTGCCAGAGCACTGTATCTACCAGGCAAGCTTGTGCTGGTACACGATGACCTTATATGCATATCTGATCGTTGTTCTTGGAACTCTCTACTGCATTTGTTAAAAAAGAACTCTCGGTATGAAGTAAGCAGAGTGAAAGCAAAGTGCTTAAAAAGTATAATTTTTTCAAACTTCTCTCAAATTCAGCTTTAACACACTCCAGCACAAAGTATTTTTTTGTGTTTAGTCCAACGTAATTTTTTGTAGTTTGTGTTAATGTGCTTATCTTCTATACTCTTTCACTCCAGTGGGCTACTCCCCAAAGCAACAAGAGCCACCTCCTGCCATCTGCTTTTGTTGATTCTCTGTAACTTGTCATCAGAGCTGTTAAAAAGAGACAGACACAATGAAGCAGCTCTTCAAATTAGCTCTTTGGCTACATTAGCCTGGCCTCAAATGTGCGTGCATGTTATTCAAAACTGGTCAGCTGTGAAAACTGCTGTTCCTTCTAAAGTACAACAGCAATTATACTTGGAAGAAATGTTTGCGTTAATCTCTCAAGGTGAAGAAATCATCCTATATAGCATACTGATGTTTATTATGACCAAAATGGCAATCAGAACGCCCTGCAAGCACTTCAGTTCAGCACGTCAACCCAACCAACACAAACCATCTCTCCCACCAACTTGTGACAGGCATCCCTAGTTGCCACTTAAAATGTTAAGAATTTTGGTACTTATTTTTTGCATCAGTGACAAGAAGTACCTCAGAACCGAACCTCCATCTCCAGAAACTAAATTTAAAACACGGGAAGAAGCTGCAGTTGCCAGCAGCCCACCACAGCTACATCTAGTAACTGGGGTAGGACGCTCCTGGCCCTTCCACACAGCCCTAGGGGGTCTCCAGCCCTGTGACCAGCCCCACTGGGATGGGCCACTGACCCAGTGTGGCTTCACAGCCAGAGCTTCCAAAGAGGCAGCCCTCAATAGATGTATTCGTTTTGGCAAATAACTCTGCGGTTAATACAGCTGAGCCCACACTTCCAGTCATTTTATTGCAAGAAAAACAAACCAGAAACTACCTGTGATGCTTCCCTGGCTGTGAAGGGCAGAAATACCCATACAAGCACACGCAGCCCTCTCCCCTGACAGTCTGCCTGACAAACTTTGGCAGAACAAGCTTCTTGAGTGGAGAGCTGCTCCCAGCACAGCACTGTCTATCTGTGCACCACACTGAAATCACGGCTGAAAACTGCTCTGTACCGTGCCACAGAGAGACAGGAAGCTCCAGGGAAATGGCAACTGCAAATTAATAGCGAGATGAACATCAAAGCTAATGGCCTGAATGTGACTGATGTGCTCAGGTACAAACCACAGCATTCACACTTCCTCTCCAGCTGGCTAGAGGAGCTGTGCACTGGGAAAGAAACCTGTCCCCTCTCTTGATGTCCAGGTGTTAAAAAGATAAGTTACTTGTCTGTAGAATTGCCCTGTTAAGGCTTAGGACTTGACATCCTTCAATGATCTCAGACCTAAGGAGTGGTTAACTAAGCTTTGGGAGAAGGATGTACTGATAGTGGACACAAAGAAGGCAGAGTTTATGGGCCACAAGGACATTATGCAGAACACCCAAGATAAGGAAGAAACTAACAAAGCCAACTCAGCAACTGTGCTGGAATCAGCTCCAACTGGGTAAAAGGTAATAGGTAATTCTGGCAGAGGGATATCGTGACCACCAACTCAAGAAACCCACTAGCCCAAAAGAAGAGAAAGACTGAGCATGCAGACTAATAAACATAAGAAGCAAGACAATCATTTAACCAATAAAAGATAGTACATTCATTAATAAGAGAACTATGTAACTTGTAGCAAAGGACCGTTAATACCTCTGTTTGCTAAAACGTATAAATAGTGAAAAGTTTTGACAGTCGTGGCGCTGGCTTTGCGGATTTGCCACCCAGCCCCCCCTTCTGCGCAGAACCGCAAATAAATCAAATACCTCGGCTCTGTATAGGGCTGGCCTCTCGCACTCTGGGTGAAAGACTCTATTTTGGGACAACACCGCGGCTGCCAGCAGCTGAACTCCCCCGCACCCCCAAGCCAGGCCGGGCGGACGCTCCGCGCCTCCCGCCAGCGCCGGTGCCCAAACCCGCCCTGCCCAGCGCAGCCCCCGCCCGGCGGGCGGACAGGAGGTATTTTTAGGCGATGAGGCAATACCGCGGTAGCGACGCAGAGGCGGAACGCCCAGTGCGCCCGAGAGGGGCCGGGCAGGGCAGGGACCCCCCGGGGAACGCTCCCGCCGCCGCCCCGCGCGGGACGCGGCCGGTCCGGAGCGGGGCGAAGTCTCCGGGCAGAGTCTGCGGGAAGGTTCGGGAGGCTCAGCCCGCCCGCCCCCGGGGTGGCCACAGGCGAAGCCCAAGCGCCAGCGGGAGCAGAGGGAGCGGCGGCTCTGCGGGACGCGCTCCCCCAGCCCGGCCTGTCCTATCCTGTCCCCGCAGCGACTCACCCGCCCGTCCCGCAGCGCCCGTCCCAGCACCGCCCGCCCGCCGCGGAACTCCCGGTGTCCCGCGCAGAGCGGCGCAGGCGCGGCGGCTCCGGGCGGGGCGGGCACAGCTCAGCTCAGCTCCGCCCCGGCACCGGCCCCGCGGGGAGTGCCGGGCTGTCCGTAGGGATCCGCACCTGCTGCGCGGGGAGTCGCGGCGTCCCCTGGGGCTGCGCTGTCCTGCGGGGAGAGGCGGGGGCTGGCAGGGCCTATGGCCCGAACGGGCCGGACTCCCCGCGCCGCTGCGGCGGTGCCCGGGCAGGACCTGGTGCAGCATCGGTGTAGATACAGATATATAGAGAGATAAACCTCTGTGCCTGGCCTGCGGCTGCCAAGGCAGCTCTGTCCCGACAACAAAGTCCGTGTGTCCCTCTGTCACACACCCACAATCGCGGGGGATGGTCTCGGTGTCCGGGCGCCCTCAGCGGCCCCCGCGCTTTGTCCGAGCAGCCGCACGCGCGGCCCTTTGGAGAGCGGGAGTGTCTCGTTGTGCGGCGGGCGCTAATTAAGGGCGAGTGTTGACATATGAGAAAGAGGAGCTCAGCCGAGGCCTCGCACCGAGGACAAAAGGGCGGCGCGGTGGCTGGGAAGCAGAGACCCCCGAGGGTGAATCAGACTTGGGAAAATGGGATGGAATCCTTAGGGAAGCAGGAAGGATTTAGCAGAGTTCCCTGCGCTGTGTTGGGCCTTGGAGAAGCCGCTCTCTGCGGGACGGTGGTGCTAGGAGCTATCCAAGGGCAGCCAGCACCTGGAAAGACACGGAGCAGAGTGAATGCATCGCCTGCACCTGCATGCTGTTTAATAAGGGTTGGGGTTTTCAGCCCCCAATAATTAGCGATGCACTATAAAACATTTAAAATTAACCTAAATTGAACAGCCACAACTAGCTAATTCACAGTAATTAATGGGAAATCCACTGCGAATTTGCAAGTGCGATCAAAGGTAATTCTAAAAGCAGAGGTAATACTTCATTGAGTGTAGTCCTCACGTGGGACACGTTTCTGCAACCCCTTAATCACAACAGTTAAAATCACATCGTTCAGAAACGTTAAAATAAGATGCTTAGTCTCGAAGTTCAGTGACGGTGAGTAACAGAAGTAGAATCTGACACTTGACAGCTATAATTTCTTCATCTTTGTAATGTACGTCACAACGCACTAAACCTTTTGAAGGCAGTTTGGATTAATCGTTAAGTTTTAACTGGATGAGTTATAATTACAGCTCCTATCTCTGAATCTTCAGGGAAAATAGTAAGAAATTTGGCTTTTGTTTTGGTGTACAATACGTAGAATCTTATATTTCAAAATATGGATTGCTGAGATTCTCTTCTCCCTGGTTTTGTATAATGCTTAAAATACTTTGACATTTTTGAATAGAAGGCACTTGTTTGTTACAAGGGTTACCGATTCCATTAAATGAAGTTTTATATATTTAGAACTTAAGCCATGAATATTGTAGCACTGCTGAAAAGTTCAAGGAATTAACAAAACCCTAGCTAAAACATCTGAGGGTTGTTTTGCAATGCTGGACTGTTTTATATTTTCTTTCAATATTTAAAGTACACTGACTCCATTTCATTAAACACATAAATTCAGTAATGTATTTAACCCTTCCCTGGGGGCCATTTCTGCAACAATTTTGCAGACCCAAAGGTAAGGATAAGGAGGCAAGATTGGACTTACCTGGTGTAATGGTGGAGGCGTCCCAGCTGCAATCACGTATTGATTTAGAAGATTAGGTCTATTACTGGAAATCAGGATACAGCTGGAGACACACTGACCTACTACAATAGTAACTGGTGTCCTAGTGAATTCAGTGGTTTCTTAAAAGCTCTTATAAGTACAGCTGTTCTCCCTCATGACTGAAACTATTGAGAAAGCATATGAGTAAGAAAAATCTTAAGATCTTCAACACTCCTATAATGTAAAAAATAATTTTTTCTTAAAAGCTGGAAATTTTCAAGAGTGTTGTTGCAATCAAGACATCACTGAAATCCTTTTAGGCTCTGTGCATTTCATACAGCTTATTCTCTGGCAGTACACGAGATGAACAGAAGCAAATGGTCCTTTTCTTACCGTGTGGTGAATAGAAGCAAACAGCCCAGACTGTGTCTGCTGAAAAACCTCTAACAGGGTATTCATGAGATGAATACAACCATCTCATGCCCCTTTGTCAGGAGAGATCAGATGCACTGGTGTGGAAGATAGTGACAACCCCTGAACTTGTTTTATAACATAGGAGTGAATCTCAGTGTTGACAAAGTAAAGCAGGGTTTTAGCTGCCACTGCCTGTGCCATCAAGGTCATGGAAGAACCAGCACACACAGGGTGTCTAAAAACAAGCAGAAAATTAATTTTGAAGGGATATTTTTAAACCATATATTTAACAAGGTTAACCCGTGCCAGAGGACACCGTCACCTACCTATAATTAAACATCAGCACATCAGCTGTATTGATTGACCTTAACTTGAGATAGCAGTTGTTGCCTGAAGCCTTTTGTAAGTGTGTGAACACAGAGCTGGAACAGACTGGGAGGGAACTGGGACTGCAAAATAAATGGGAGAACAGGATCTGGTTATTCTGTACTTGGCTATTCCACTGACAAAGACAGCACATTCCTCTGCACAGTGTCCTTTTCTTACATATTCCTTGAAGGAATGTTAAACCGTCTAGGCTACCACACGGGGAGAAATAGCTTAAGGAACCAATGTTTTTGGGAAGTCAGCTGTGCAGTGGAAAAGCGAGTCATTGGAGACGTTGGGTGAATCAGCAATCATGATGAGGGTGTTACCCTCATAAATTGGAAGGAGTATCCACACATATTGCTGGACACTGGTACTGTAAATCCACAAGAAAAGTGAATATAGCTTCAATTTTAAAAGTAGTGTAGAACGCATAAAACCATGAAAAATTCAAGGCAGCCTGAGCAAGTGTTTGCACCAGATAACACACATTTGGAAATAACATATCATGTGAATTCTCAAAGACACTCTTAAGTGAAACTACAATGATGGTATGGTAGTGTAGTTTATGAGCTCGTTCTTGGATCTGTAACAAGGAAACATACTTCGAAAGCTAAGATTGTGTGTGAGGACTAGGGAGATTTATGAGCCAATAATGTTTCTGATGGACTTGCCATGTGATCCTAATCAGGCCATTCTGCATTCTTATGGTGCTAAAGCTTATCTACACATGTGTTCATAAATGCCTATTTTTATTGTAAGCATTTTAGGACAGAGTCTGGTTTTTACTACAAAGCTATACATCACCCAGCATAGTAACAGGCTGGCGGTGCTACTTTCATATGATTAATGATTATAAGCACCAAAGTGAGATGATTTGCCATTTTTGTCCAAGATGGAAGTAATTTACAGCCTGGATGATAGTGAAAAACAGACCCTGCAGATGCCTGGCTGCAATATCATCAGCCTGTGAGTTTCACACAATTATTATTATTAGAAAAACTATCCACTGTAACCTTAGCTCGATGGGAAAAATGTTATGAAAGCTAATGGCCAGATGTGATGGGAAGATAATTTCGAAATATTAGGAAGTAAGTTTTACCACTCCCATTTAATGTTATCTAAGAAACCTACTCTCTGATCCCGCTTCAAGTTACACTGATGTTATCTAGTGTGGAAAACAATCTTCAGATAACTGTGCTGATAATGGGGATGGACATTAACTATTTAATTCTAAAACATAACTCTTATCCATTTTTAAATGACAATGGTAGTCTTCAAATAATGAGACATCTTTAATAACATAGCAAAATGCCTGCAATGTGGAGTGACTGTAGCACCTTCTGTGTTCAAGGTAGTACCGATCCTGACAACTGGACACTGCTTGTTTGATGTTTCCAAACTTACATCCCATAGGCATATGTTAATAATGGACAATTCTCAAAGGAATAAGCACACAATCTTAATTTCCTAACATGTCCCTCAGGGAAAGGCTCAGAGCACGTTTACAAAAGCAAAATCTCTTGTGAATCTTTTCTTATTTCGAGATTCAACTGAAACCAGGAGGAGCTGACAGCATGATTGAGAGGCGCACATATGAGCTTATAAATAGAGGCCTGAAAAGATGATTTGATTTCCATTCTTTGGAATGTTACAGCTATTCAGAGATATTGCAAAGTAATCTCTGGTAAATTGCCAATGATTGAAGTAAATGGTAACTCACTGAATAGAGCCTTCTGGTCCTTACTAGTCTGAAACTCGCTACAAAAGTTCTGAATAAGGGATGAAGGACTTCTTCTTTTGTTGTAACTGATTCCTGATTTCCTTCTAAAATAGGGACATGTGACAACAAAGCCTTCATCTCCAAATATTTCTTGTGTCATTAAATGCCACTCATAGAGCGAAGAAGGCTTTCCATCCTGGGTAATTTTTTAACGTCTTTTTGCATCACAATGTCCCAATATGACTTATTCCATGAGTCATTTTTAATGGCAAGGGACTCTTAGTCAAATACTTTTTCATATTTTTCCAATTTTCTAGTGGTGTACCTGCCACAGCAGATGTTGTGGCATCTTCTTAATACGTGTTTCAGGTATCTTAATCTCTTTTCTGAACAACTGGAGATAAAAGGATGTCGAACACTGCTGTAAGCTTTAGCATTCATTATCAGTTGGTTCCATTTGAAATAAGGTCCTTCCCAATGGCATTTATTTGCAGAAGGTTTTAGATATCTGTCTGTAAGACCAAACTACAAATCTTGAAATTGAATCTTACTGGGAATGAGCTCTTCAAAATTTTTCTACATAATATTAGTGGAGTGTGGCTTCAGTCCTTCTCCCCTCCCTTTTTTCATTGTCTTTCACGAGTCATAGTTCTTACTTTTTTTCCACCAAAGCTTTTCCTGCATGTAGAGAGCTGAGGGGAGTCTAAATAGGCTTTTAATGCTGTTCTGTCTTCATATGACACTTGAACCAACAACAGATATAAAAAATGGGAACAAGTAAATTCTTGGATTAATGAAATTACTCTAAATCCCTTTCTACAATAATTCATCTTTCATTGTAAAACCACATTTAAATCTCTAAGTATGTGTGATATATTAATCCTATGTTAACATGCTCTCTGCACTAAAAAAAAATCCAAGCAAAGCCACTGAGCAAACCTTTTAACTTATGATTGATTTATTTATATTGTCAGTACTAAAAATGATGATGGGGCTTACATGGAAGCTATAGAGCCATAATCTGAGTCAAAATAACCAGCCACACCTTCTAAGAGGAACAAGACAACTAAGAAACCTGAAAATAAAACCATCTGTGAAAAACAACCCAGGGAGCAAACATCCAAAATGAAGTGTGTCTTTCCATGTTCCCTACCATGCTAACATAATGGCAATGAAGCACTACAAATGTTCAAAGCAGTGAGCAGGGATTTTTAACTACATCAATCCCTCTACAGGAGTAGTCCCTCCGGCGTCATAAAGAGGGCTCTCTGGGTATGGCTCACAGGAATGAGCTCACAAGACTAAAATAAAGAGAAAAAAAGGACACAGCTGTGGTATAAATATTTAGCAAATGTAAAAAAATAGCTTTTAAACTGAGTACTTTCTGTTGCTTCAAGCAGATTTGGGTAAGCACCCAGGAAAATCAATTTGCTCGCATAATGACCAAGTTTATTTTACTTTTAAAAAGTCATCAATGTTCATGAGAGGAGGAGTGCTGGTTTGAATCAGGCATGTTGCAAGCAGATGTTATGCAAGCTTCCTCAGACATCCCTGCCAATGACTGCAATCCTGAGTTATGACATTCACTGTAACTGCTGCAGTCTGGGCCCTTTTTTGGGCCACTCATCTGTTGGTTTTCCCAAACTGGGGATGATATTTTTGTGATGAATACAAAAACTTGAAGAAGAGCAACATACTTTTTGTTTCCAGACCAAGAGAACTTGAGAACCACGTCTGAGTTTCACGGCCTATCAGTAATACTGGATAGAAATGGAAAAGTACATTATTTGTCATTATATATATGATTGTGATACTCTTATCAAACATATCTCCCGGTTCATTCCTACCATGTATATGGTAAAGGATAGTCTCTTGCAGTTCCTTCTGTTCCTTCTTTTGAAGGATGAAAGGAAGTGATTTCCAAATACCATTTTCAGAAACTCTTGTAGGTTTTTAATTATTTTGTCCTTTAGCCCATGAGTGTATGAAATGACTGCATCCTTTCATAACCTTTAAACAAATAAACGAAGAAATAAAGAATGAAAATAAAAAAAAGAAATAAAAAATGAAGAAACCTACCAAAACCAATCTCTTGGAGCAGAACTACTCTACTTTTTAAAGATGCTGTAGATTCTGGGACAGGAGATGAAGTACTGTTGCTAATACAGATTAAAAGCTCTTAAATAGAGAATGTCAGATGAGAGAAAGACCACAGTTCCTACTCTGAAATGGACTGTATTTAAGAGTATCTCATAAAGATGAAAACTTTTTGCTATTCAAAGTAGGACTTTTTTTTGCTTGGATATTTAAATAGCCCATTTTCTTATGATATGTCCTGATGTCATTGTTGTATATTTTCTATTTTTAAGTAATGCTCTGCCATACTTTTTCAGACTGTAATCTCGGAAAGAAAGATGTGGGAGTACGTAGGTAAAGCAGGATAGTAGTTGCTACATTTATTGTTCTTTACTCAAAACATTATTGTGCTTTCCATCTTTAAACAATAAAAACACTTTGATAAAGCTTGCTTGAGCTTAACAGTCGGAACCACGTGACCACTAATTTAATTATACTATTCTTTTTTCTTAAAGAAGCAGGAAGCACTGCAATGACTTGCCCAGCTGTGTCAAACGAGTCAGTATGAAAATTAAAAGGTTGAGACTTTGTCACCTACAGCTGTGTGCTTGTATTACTTGGCTAGGTTTCTTTTACAAAGCTCTAGGTTTCGGAGCTTGTGTGCAGGCACAGAGGTAAGTTCAATAAAGGGCAACAAGTGGAGAGAGAGAGTCTTGCTGTACATCAGCGTGAAGGGATTGAGTTCATTAATAGCCAGAAGTGTTATAGTTTGTGAATAGTCTGAAAAGCATTTAGGCATCCGATGTCGAGTAATACATTGTATTCTTCATCCCTCTGAAATGTGGTTATTGGATCTGTGATAAGGAAGGTGAGAGAAAAATGAGCTTTCCAAGGACCGAGCAACAAACATCAAACGCAGGCTGAGGCAACCTGGCACAACACAGGAGATGTTATCGGTGACTGGTGCGGCGGGAGAAGCAAAGGCACAGTCCCCATAGCCTGGTTATCAAGGGGATTCATTAATAGAGAGGCTCGCCACGCTGTGAAACAGTTTCCCACGGAAAATTACGGAGATCCCATCCTTGGGAGACGTGTCCGCCCAAGCTGTCCTGTCAGCGCCTGGGCAGAGCCTCCCCGGGCGAGCAGAGCCGGCGGCCGAGCACCTTCTGGGCTGCCAGCGCTGCCCTTCACCCCCCGCGACCTCGGGCGGCCGCTCCCCCCCCGCCCTTGAACTCCCCATCCCTCGGCTCAGCCCTCAGGGGGCGGCGGCGGATCCCGGGTCACGCCGGGACAGGCCCGTCCAGCGGCTCGCCAAGCGCCGAGAAGCGCACTCTGGGGTTCTGTGGGCGCTCGGAGCCCGTCACAGAGCCAGAGACAGACCTGGTGCCGGTGCCGGTGCCGCTCCCGGGGGACCCGAGGCCGCCGCCGCCTCCCGGGGCCGGGCCGGGCCCATAGAGCGCGCGGCGCCGGGATAGAACGGCCGCGCCGGGGCCGCAGCGCCCCCCGGCGGCCGCTCGCGGGGGCGGCGCGGAGCGGGCAGAGAAAGGGAGCGGGGACAGTAATGGCGGCCAGTTAGAGCCGGGCTGAGCCCGAGACGCGGCGGCGACAGCGGCGGGAGGAGCCGGCGCGGCTCCGGCTGCGCCTCTGCCCGGCGGAGCGGCTTCCCCGGAGGGCTTTTCTTCCTTCCTCCCTCCTCCCCCCTTTCCCCCTCTCCCTCCCCTTCCCCTCCCTACCCGAGCCCCCGCCTGTCCGCCCTCCCTCCCTCCTCCCTCCGCGCCGGCGGCGGCGGCGGCGGCGGCGCCCCCCGTGTCCCCCCTCGCCGGGGCCATGGTGAACACCAGGAAGAGCTCCCTGCGCCCCCTGGGCAAAGCGGCGGCCGCGGCGGCCGGGGCCGGCAGCCATTTCATCTCGTCCCGCACCCGCTCTTCCAAGAGGGGCACCAAGGCAGATGCGGCCGGGCTGGAGGAGGCGGCGGCAGCGCGGGTGAGCACCGGGGGGCTCACGGGCAGCGACGGCGGCGGGAGGGCAGCGGCGGGGCCGGGGAGTCGCTGGAGACAGCGCTGCTGGTGCCGGGGGGGCCGCGGGCAGCAGGGTCGGCGGGGGGCGGGTGCCCAGACGGGCTGTCGGGGGGACGGCGGGCAGCCCGCGGTGAGGAGGCACCGCGGAGCCGGCGGGGACGCGGGGGCGGCTGCGGAGGAGCCGCAGTCCCTGCGGGGTCAGCGGCGGGGCGGCGGGGGCCGTTGACAGGGGCGGGGGGCGGCGGGGACACGGTCGGCGGAGCTGCCGCGGTGCTGGTGCCGGGCCGGTGCCCAGCGGGCGGGGGGTCCGGGGGGTCCGGCGGGGTCCGGCGGCGCGGGGCTCCCCCTGCGGCCGCGCCCGGCGCTGCCGCCGCCAGACAAAAGTTGGGAGCTGCGCCCGCAGCAACTTCGCAATAATCCTCGGCCCGGGTTTGTGTGCTGGTGTGGTGTTTTTTTTTTTTTTTTTTTCTTCCCTGTGTGTGTGGTTTTTTTTTCCCCCTTTCCCTGAATGACCTCGATTCGGCCGGCGGCTGCGCCGGGAGCAAGCTGGTGTTTGGGAAAGCCCCCCCCCCCACACGCCCGCCCCGTTTTTGTGGCAAGGAGGGTGAGATTTTGCCGTCAAGTTTAAGTTGAGTGCTTTCCCAGCAGAATTTACTGTGGTAGCTTTGGTTGGACGGGCTGAATGGCAAGTGGAATTCTACAGCTGGATTTGGAGAATTTAATATTTGGTGAATTCTAAGTGGAAGAGAGAATTCGTGAGACTCTCATCTTCCTTGTCTCTAGTCGGCTTTGTTGACTAGAACTGCGGTTTTGTTTTTTTGTTTTTTTTTTTTTTAATTGGCACAGAATCAATTAGGTTGGGAAAGACCTCTATGATAATTGAGTCCAACCTTTGACCGAACACCACCTTGCCAGCTGGACCATGGCTCTAAATGCTACGTTCAGTCCTTAAACACCTCCAGGATCGTGACTCCACCACCTCCCTGGGCAGCCCGTTCCTAACCCTAACCCTTTCTGTGAAGAAATTCCTCTTATAAGAGGAATTATAGGCAGGACTTTTTCTTTACTTGATGAAACTTCACGTGTTGCTTTGAAGGTTTAAACTAGTAGTTATAGCTGCGTGCTCTGCATGTATATTAGAAAAACAGTGTAAATATGGAAGTGAAAATTGAGGGTCAGAAGGACAGTCCTGCATCAACTGGCCACATCCCAGCCCTGCTAAGGAGGAAGTTAATCAGACAAGCAGAAAACCAGCAATAATAGCTGGAGGCAGATCAGAAGGATGACACCTGGAATTCTCACAAAACCTTTTGCTCCATTCTTTTGGTCTTAAAATACTAAAACCACCTCAAATTACTGTCTAGATACTCCATACCTTCTGTGCTTCTCTTTCAGTTCTTTCATGCTTCACAGTTCTTCCCTTCCCCCATCTTACTTTTCCCTGTTCCCTATTTCTTCCTTGTTTAATTTCAGTAGACTCCTGGGGATGCAGCACCATAGCTGTAAAAAGCTGTTCTGCTTGTTCTAGTGTGCACTTTCTGTTTATTCATATCGTGGGTCTTGTGGTTTGTGAAGCAAAGTTTGGTGTAACCCTTACTGGCTTACGTTGCAGGGAGTTTGCTGCTGCTAAAAAAAGTAGCTTGGGCTTCTTTCCAAGTATTTTTAATCTGTGAATAGTATTTTTATACTACAAATCATTAAAATGTTTAAATTGTTATTTTCATGGTGTAAGGAAAGGAGATGGTGCAAAATAGCGCCAAATGTTGTAAATACTTCCCAGGATATTGCCCGTGCTTCTAAAAGAGCATTTCTTCTAAAGTTAAATGTAAATTTTGGTATATGGGAATAGACTTGTTTCACTGCACAACAAATCTCATGTGTTTGAGGTAGAATTTTTTCTTTTCTTTAAGATGTAATTGCCAAGTATGAGCAGAAGTTATCCAAGAAGAGTGTTTTGTAAAATATATATCTCTCACTGTATTTTAAAGTTGTCTTTGTACAACTCTTTTTATTCTTCAGATGGAAGTACTGTCAGCAATGCAACGTCTTTCTGAGCTTCTGAATCTTCTTGAAGTAGTGCCAGAGAAGGATCTCAGTGATTAGGACATGAATAACTGTAGCAGTAGGGAGACAAAGCCTTTGCTTTTGGAAGCGACTGTCGGGAGGCAGATAGTGAGGCTGTGTTCTGTGCAGGAGGCGTGCTGGGATCGTCTTCATGCAGTTGTATGTAATTTGTTTTTTGCAGTTGACTGGGACAGTGTGTCCTTTTAAAATCTTTTGGGTGTCATGTCAGGAGACCCAGCCTTACTACCAGCAGTTAAGTGGGTTAATGGGCAGCTCGAGTTTGGAGCTTTGGCAGGACTGGGATGCTTCTTATTTGCACTGTTTGACTTAATTTCCTTCCATGGAGGTTCTGACTTGGACACCCAGAGAAATGCTCTTTGGTGGCAATGCTTGTGGCCCACCTTTCAGAATGTATTTTGAAAGATCATCTATCTCTTGCTTATTAGCAACTAAAACTGAGTTAGTAACCTAATGACATCCTGTATGATGCTGAGTAGACCAGATGAGGGGTTAGGAGTTGCCTTCCACCTCTTTTGTTCTATTTCAATTTTTGTCTCCTTTTTTCCTCTTGGCTACTTCTGGTATACATAGGGTTGTGGCTTTTTTGTTGGTGTTGCTGTTTTTGTTTGGGGTTTTTGTTTGTTTTTTTTTATTCCCCCCCATACATATACAAGGATAGGCTTGAATCTCTCCTTTCCCAAGAACTTAAGTTTGTAGTCTTCTGCTTCAATATTATGCTGAATTACGTATGAGTAGTGTGTGTTTTTGTTTGTTCTGAGTTTGAAAGCAACACACATTCTGTGGAAATGGGCTGTAATAGTCTAAATGCCTTTATCATGTTCAGTGTATTCCCTCTGTAGTACTTGCTCAGCCCAGAGAAAGCAATGACGTCAGGCTTTGAAAAGTAAACTGGTTTGAATTATTGATTGGCGACCACGCAGTCAGCGATGAAGATGAATACATGTGCGTCTGTCTCCTGACCAGAAGCCAGATTAAAATGAACAAAATCCCTCTCTAAATGGATCAAGGAGCCAAGAAGTTTATTGTCTGAGATGATGTCATAGCAGAGTGCATAGAGAGGGTATAGAGGGGAAAAACTGGCCTTTGTTTTCTTCCTGCATCTAGGACTGATTTACACACTGTTTAGTAGAAATAGAAGTTATGCTTACATAAATTTATGTTCAATCTTTATACAAATTATATGTATTTTTTTCTTTCTAGCCTTAAAACTTGGAAAATGTTCTGGCTTTATATTAAAGCATTCTGACAAGTGCATCAAAATCATCTGAAGTTTTCAGAAACAGAATTGTAACACAAGGCTTGTAAATCCAGTGGAATTCATTCACACTGTGGAAAAAATTGAGGATAAGTGGTTAAATTTGTGATTTATATCTACTAATGTCTGATGTTTTCAGATACTGAGTTGTGATTGCTGGTAACATTTGCTTGGCAATTGAAATGATTTTTCTCAGTCATCTCAAAACACAAATCAAAAATGTTGATCAAGAAAACTTATGAATTTATTGTAAAATAAACACTCTTAAATTATGCCAGCGTACTAGTTAGACATTTTAGAAATGTATACAAGATTAGCTTAATTTAATTAGCCAAGAAAGCATTAGCAGTGCCTTAAGAGCTACTTGAGGGCACGGTGATAATTGTAACACATGATCCTCGCTAAAAGTAGTGCTGCCAACATCGTTCAACTTGCTCAGTGGCAACGTAGAGCTCTCCATTGTGCTTAATTGCTAATGGGAGCAAACAGGGGCTGGAGGATTGACATTGGGTGCTGCAGTGTGGGAAGGTAGAAAGCTAAGCAGCATATTTGTGCTCTGTGGTGCCAGTACATCTCAGTGTCTCCTATTGTAATTCCTCAGTCTGTAGCAATAGAAGTGTTTTCTGATTTCTGGGTGGTAATGTAGTTTTTGTAGCATGAACTCATTGCTGTGTTTTATTCCTTGAAAGGCCTTTAATGGTCAGCTGTTGAAAACATAGAAAAATAACTTAAAGAAATTATTATAATTTCTCTTAAAATACAAGTTTCAAATATAACCCATAGAACCTTCTAAAAATTAAATTTTCCTTTACGAGACAGCCTAATTCAGATTAGCATGTTTTCTTTGTTGTCTATGCAAAATGTCTGGTAGTGTTCTGGATGCTCTGCTGTTTCGAATAAAACTGTAAAAAAGTTAGATTTTCCTCCTTTGCTGGATAAATGACACTTGCTGGCCACCTGCATGTAAAGCTCTTACAGGGGAAAAAAGCTCCTTTCCACTATCTATGTTTTAAAGAACGGAACTGCCTTCCTGTTTGAGTTTACAGTAGCATCAGTAAAGGTGCTGAGGTT